AGTAACCCAGGTAACTTCAGGGATTAATGGAAAAGGCCCCTCTTGGCCTGGGGGAAGAGGAGAAGTACAGAACCAGAGGTGTCCCAGAAAGCTAACAGAAAACCCCACCTCAGCATACCAGGAAAAGATCCTGAAACCCAGGTGGCAAACACCAATACATCCCCGAGTGCCTCAGTGAGGATGGGGAAACAGGTAGAAACCAGCTTGGAAAACCACCAGGTGCTTTGGCATTCTACAGCAACTGGGTTTCCCAGGGCCTCAGCAAAACTAAGGGAAGCAGCACTCCAAGGGGTCCCAGGTAGATAAACATTCTGCAATATCCATATGAAAGGAGCTGAAGAAAGTGAAAGGAAAGAAAGGCCTAAGAGAGCAGGAAATCTCCAGGAGCCAATCCTACCCCTAGAGTTTCAGTGTTGCTGATTCCAGCCTAACTCCAGGTAAGCTGCCAGAACCCTGCAGCCTCCAACTGCCAATATTGGAAGCCCCCAGCACACAAAGCCAGTGACCAGGCCAGGCCCTAGGCTCCCAACACAAGAAGCTTGGGTCAGTGCCCTCTGCTCCCCAGCAGGAGAGCTCAGTCTCTTTAAAGGCCAGGAAATAAGCAAACACCATGAGCAAAAAGAAATGCATGATAAATTCTTATTATAGGAACAGTGAAGATCAAGGCAGAAATTCTAAAGAGGACAACATTGTCAACAAACTCACATCTGGAACCTCACAAGGGAATATGAACTGTTCTGAAGCCCCAAAAGCCTTCTTAGAAGAGCTCAAGAAGGATTTTAAAAGTCAAATGAGAGAGGTAGAAGAAAAAATGGTAAAAGAAATGAGAGGTATGCAAGAAAGTGTCAATAGCTTGGATAAGGAAGGACAAAAATTAACTGTAGAAAACAAGTCCTTAAAAAATACAATTGGCCAACTGGAAAAAAAGTACACGGAAGAAAACAAGTCCCTAAATGATACCATTGGCCAAATGGGGAAGGAGGTACAAAATCTAATAGAAGAAAACAATTTGTTAAAAATTAGAATTGGGCAAATGGAAGCCAATGACTCTATGAGAGAGCAAGAATCAGTCAAACAGAAACAAAAGAATGAAAAAATAGATGAAAATGTAAAATACCTCATTGGTAAAACAACTGACCTGGAAAATCAATCCAGGAGAGACAATTTAAAAATTATTAGTCTACCTGAAAATCATGATGAGAAAAAAAGAGCTTGGACAGTACCTTTCAGGAAACCATAAAGGAAAACTGCCCTGAGGTCCTAGAACCAAAGGATAAAATAGCCATAGAAACAATCCACCTATCACCTCCTGAAAGAGATCCCAAATTGAAAATGCCAAGGAATGTAGTAGCCAAATTCCAAAATTACCAGATCAAAGAGAAAATAGTGCAAGCAGCCAGAAAGAAACAATTTAAATGTCATGGAACCACAGTCAGGATTACACAGGACCTTGCAGCTTCTACATTAAAAGACTGTAGGGCGTGGAATATGATATTCCTTAAGGCAGAGAAGCTTGGACTACAACCAAGGATCCACTACCCAGCAAAAATGAGCATGATCTTTCAACAAAATAGGGGACTTCCAAACTTCCTGATAAAAAGACAAGAGCTCAACAGAAAATTTGATCTTCAAGTACATGACTCAAGAGAGACATAAAAAAGTAAATGAGACAGAAAGAAATAACATGTTATTAATAAGGGCAAACTGTTTATACCCCTACAAAGGAAAATGACACTTATAACCCTTGAGAACCGTATTGTTATTATACCACATTAAGAGGGTATACATAAAGGGGATGAGTATAAATTGACTTTGATATAATGATAAAAAAATCTAATCAAGTGGGTTAAATGGATCCAAGTAAGTGGATTAATCTGATCTAAGGAAATGTATTGAGAGGAAAGGAAAGGAGGAGGCAGACAAGGGTAAATTACATTACAGGAAAAGGAACAAAAACCTGTTGCAGCAGAGGGAAAGAAGGGAGGGAGATGAGCATTGTTTGACCCTTACTCTCACCAGATTTGGCTCAAGAAGGGTATAACATAATTACTTATGTATAGAAGTCTAACATGCCCTATAGGCAGTAGAAGGGAAAAGGTTAAAGAAAAGGGAGGAGAGATAGAAGGGAGTAAAAAAGTAGTAGGGGTAAAGGGGAAGAAAAAGGAGTGAGCTAATAGAAGGGAGGCAGGACTGAGGGATGTTGTGGTCACAAGCAAAACTCTCCATAAATGTTAGCCGTAATAATAATAATAGCTAACACTGATATAGCACTTTAAGGTTTGCAGAGCACTTTACAAATGTTATCTTATTTTATTCTCATAACAACCATAGGAGGTAGGTTATTTTATGCGTCAGTAATATCATTGTAGCATGGGAGGGGGCAATCTGCAGAAGACAGGAAGGGTGCACATAGATGGCTTAGCTTTGGCAAAGAGAAGAGCTACCTCTTCATCTGAGACCAAACCATCTAGAGTCTAGACAATTCTAGGAAAGTTGAGAAGACAGGAGGGTTTGGGGGTAAACTGAGTTTAGTTTTGGATATGTGGAGTTTGAAATGCCCATGGGACATCCCATTAGATATATCCAAAAGGTTATTGGTGAGGAGGGATTGCACCTCCAGAGAAAGGCCAGCGATGGACATATAGACCTGGGTATCATCTGTATGGAGATAATAACTGAACCAATGGGAGCTGATGAAATCGCCAGGTGAAACTCTATAGAGGGAAAAGAGGAGAAAGCCCAGGACAGAACTGTAGGGGACATGGATGGTTAACATGGATGAATAACTGAAAAGCAAAAAACTGAAGCACAAAGGACACTGATGCTAAGTAGTTTGACAGATAGGAGAACCAGAAGAGAGCAGTTGTCCCAAAAGCCTAGTGTGGAGAGAGTATCCAGGAGGAGAGGGTGATCCACAGAGTCGAATGTTTCAGAGAGGTCAAGAAGGATCAGAACTGAAGAAAGGCCATTAGATTTGACAATTAAGAGATCACTGACATTTTCAGTTGTATGATGGGGTCAGGAGCCAGAGTGCTGAGGGCTTAGAAGAAAATGAGAGGAGAGGAAATAGAAGTATCTTGTGTAGATTGCTTTCTCAAGGAGTTCATGAAGGAGAGGAGAGATAGAAGGTGATAACTAGTGAGATAGTAGGATCAAGTGAGATGTTTGTAGACAGCAGAAAAGGAGCTAGTAGATAGAGAGAGACTGAAGATAAAAGAAAGAACAATAGCTTTTCATTGGATAATATGTTGAGATTTTAAAATGCCTTTACATATGTTTATTTCATTGGAGGAAGAGCAGTAAGTTCTTGGCAAGATTCATTACTACACTCATTACTACTATTTACAAAATCCATTACTTAACTAGTCCCCTAGGTGGCACAGGAGGTAATAGCAAATTAAGGGGTCAGGAAGACTTGATTTCAAAGACTACCTTGCACATTTATTTGCTATGTTGTCTTGGACAGCTCCCTCAATCTCCTCATCTGTAAAATGACAGCAATGACAGCACCCACAGCAAAGGGTTGGTATGGGACTCCAATGAGATGACATTTATATCTATAGCTATAAAATAGCTATTATTAGCTCCTTGGCTGTGTGCAAATGACAACCTCCCTAAGCCTTTAAAAGAAGAGGTTGGATTGGATGATCTATAAGAGCTGTTAGAAGTACAAGGCCTGAAGCTTTACAATTCTGTTAAAAGAAAACTTAAAGGAGTCACACCCAACTTATTATAATCTGTGGAGGTTCAACTTCATACTCAGAGTAAATAGCTACTGTCAAATTATTTAAGTAGTAGTGCTGAGTTTCAGTAGACATTAGGATTAGGTAGGCAATAACATAATGCTATTTTGTCTTTTTTGCTTGACAAAATGTTAAAATGTATTTTCTATGATGGAATGTTACAATACCACATGGAAAAAAATACTCTTGGTAGGAGAAAGAATGGATTAAACTTTAAGAAAAAAACCATGTGGGAGGAAATGAAATTAGAAACATAGTATCTGAGCCAAAGGACTTTGAATAGGAATGTTACTTCCTGAATGTTACTGCAGGGGGCTATGGGCTTCTGTCTGTCTTACCATGGTATGGAAATGTTGAGGTTTAGGGATTTAGGGGTACTGGGACCTCAAAATCACAACACAAAGATCCTGCCAAAAGAATTCGACCCAAGTCTTCTTTCAGCCAAAGACAAGGTTTATTAGAATATCTGTCAGACTGGGCAGACTCTTAAGGAGTCTGAACATTAGTGAGCTAGTGGCTAGATTGTAAGAATCTGAGCATTGGCTAGATTGTAAGAATCTAAGCAGTGGCTAGATTGTAAGAATCTGAGCATCTTAATGGAGACAAGATAGACCTTATATACAGAAAGACTGTGGGAGGGATCTAAGAGTGGCCAAGTAGTTTGGGGTGACTGGAGGAGGGAGTCTAAGGAAGATCTGAATGGGAGTGGCCAATAAGCTAGGGTGAACAGAACGCCTGGGACCTGGACCTCAAGGCCAAGGGAGAATGGAACCTAGCTAGGATTAAGGGTGGGAAATAGTCTGGGGCCATAGGGAGGGCTAGGCTAGATTAAGAGTAACAGAATTGGGAGATTGGTTGTAGCCACAATGAAAGGCCAGTTGATGGTATTATAGCTTCAGGCAAACACCAGAGATTTGGCGTTGTGGGAAAGTCCAGGGTTTTTCCTTTTTGGGGTCTAGATCCCATCCTCATGAGAAGGGATGCCCACTTTCCCCTCTTATGTTTGAGTTCCTTTGGCCTCGAAAAACAAACCAAAAAAAACCCCCAACTCTTCTCCCTCCACTCCCCTGTAGGGTACTGTATTTATAAAGTAGATTCTTTTTCTTTTAGGAGCTCTCCAACACCAAGAATACGTAGAAAAAAAATTTTTATAATTCAATCCTAAAGGAAAAAGTCGTAGCAGTCATTAAAGACAGAGACCTGTCCATAAGAAATAGATAGATCAACCAAGGATTTGTACTGTGTCATAGTGAGCATTCAATAAACATGCTTTTTAATTAGAATAATATCATGGATTCCTGTTCCCAAGGCTTTCTCTCAAGCTCCCTTGAGGGTGGGGGAAGAGACATAAGGTTTTCCCCTCAGTAATAGTTTTGCATTCATTTCCCAACATTACATCCAAAAGTGCTCTTCTTTACATACTCCCATGCTCCCTATGTTACAATTAATGTCTTCCGTCAAAATGACTGATTTTTTTAAAAAGTCCATTTATTTTTTAACATTTTTAAAAATTATTTTTTTGAGTTTCAAATTCTCTCCCTCCCTCCAGCCCTTGTCCCTGCATTGAGAAGGCAAATAGGATACCTATTATCCACGTGAAGTGAGGAAGTGACTAATTTCTAAATATGATCCCATTAAAACCTAGGCCCGGGAACTGAAAGTCACTTGATTATTCCAAAGTCTTCTAAGGTCAAACGCAAACCCAGTCCACCAGATTAGATGGTCCTTGATCCCCTTCTTGCTTTCATTATATTCCCAAACCCAAGCCCAGAAGCCCCGGGGTGGGCGTGGGGTGAGGGGTGGGCAGGAGAACCGGATTAGAATAAGGATAACGAGTGTTTCCACTGAAAACCAATTAGAGAAGGTCCATTCCACGGCTTCCCGCTTGCACGCCCGGGACAGTAGCAACGGCGGAGACGGCGCAGAAAGCCACGAATGCTGTGGGATCCCCACGAAGGGGACGCGCAACGCTCCTTGGAGATACAAGTTGCGTGGTAGGAGCTCTAGAGGCTGTAGGCTCTGGGGAGGAGTGCAGTGCAGCCCAGCCGTAGCTTCGCTGACTTCCGCTTTCCTGGCTGGCTGGCTGGCTGGCTGACCTGGGGAAGGAGGCTTAGAAGGGGCAGGATGGCCGGGACGAAAGGGCAGGCGAGCACGGCTGCACGGTGCTGGCGCGCCACAGTCGTGCGACTATATAAATCTGCGGGGGCGGGGCGACGAGGGTGTAACACGTACCCCAGGTCAGGGCCTTGGAGTGAATGCAGCTGCCACCTCTAGCACTCTCACACCGCGTAGAGGCGGCTGAGGAGGAGGAGACAAGAGGCGGCCGTCCCTCGGCGCCAGGCGCATTGGTGAGCAGTGCGCGGCGCAGGCCCGGTTCTTTGCAATGTGCGCGGGGCGCCTCGGCGAAAGGAAGGGAAAGCCGAACTCTGGGGAGAGTAGGGAAGGTGAATCTTCCAGTTTCTTCCTCTCGCTCGGTTTCCTGCGCTTTTCCGGGAACTGGCTCTGTGCAACAGGTATCTGCAGCGCTCCCAGGGACTAGAGGGTGAGAGGAACCCCTCTCCATGCTTTGTCCCCTCACCCCAACTCTGGGCAAGGAAGGGGGGGGGGCTGCACGAACTTCGTTGGACGGTTTTGTGCCTCAGAGATTTGAGAGTAATATGCCCATAACAGCTGGAAGCCAGTTACCCCTCCCCGGGCCCCTTCACCTAGTTCCTGCAACTGTCAGTGGCGATATCCTTTGGTCCTGAGTGGTGTCATTTGATTGTCGACCTTAGTTGTCCTGCTGCCTCTGTGCCGAGAAGCCGGGAGATTTTATGAATGGGATGATGCCCTTCCAAGCTGGGTCGTTGTAACGTGGGTGGGAAGCAGCTTCGGCATTTGTAACTCTTTTTTAATTTTTTAACTAGTTCAGTGCTCAGGAGGAAAATGAATCCACCCCCACCCAAAGCTCTAGTCTAAGATACCTATTTCCCTCAGGACAGAGAAAGGTGCTTTTTGAAACTTGCCACCTGAAAAGTAGCTTCTTTGTTTCTTCTTTTCTGAGATCACCTCCTCCATAGTAGAAATTGATTAAAAATAAAGTGGGGTGGTGAGAGTAGTTAACTTCAAACCTTGGCTTTTGTGTTACTAGCTGAAAGTTCAAAGATCAGCTTTCCTATGTCCGAGCGGGGCCTTTCCCTTTGCAGCCTTCACCAAGTCAGAATTGTGGGCAATTACCACCATTTCTCCTTGCTTTGGACCTGAAAATTATTACCATTAGGTGCTGGTAGACATTTTTACCAAGTTCTTTAGTCTAACAAAATCGTTGACTCATTTGCTTCAGCAGAGTTATGCTCTACTGTATTCATTTTGAAGTAGTACTCGTTCTTGGGATCTAGTCATACGCAAAAGGTGCATTTAACAGACAGTTCTGCTCTAAACCAGTTTCACATTTCTCTACCATCACTCTTTCTCTGCCCTCCTCCCCCATTTAAGCTACTTTGTAAAGGTGTCACAAGGTTATTGTTATTATCTACTATTAATTAATTTTCCCAAGACAGTGTGCTATCAGTGTAGTGATAATTTTCTATATTAATGAATATGGGTTTCATTAAACCCCATTACCTAGACTGGAGGTCTTAAGTGGAAAACCTGCATTACCGTCACTCCTCAGAGATGTAGGTGGATTCTTGTGTGCCTTGGATTAGATGACTGTTGAGGTCAGTTCTCATTGACATTTTTGGATTCTTAATCCTCCTTTGGTCCCCTCCTTTCTTCCTCCTCCTCCTGTCCTCCCCAAGAGCAAAACTAGATTTATTAGAAGCAAAGGGGTAGAGCAGTTTGGTTTTTTTTTTTTTCAGATCTCTTAATTTTGTTACTGCTTCTTAGGAGCCCTGGCCATTGTATGAGGTTTGGAACTGATCAGTTATGTGGTTTTAGAACTTTAGCTTAAGCCATGGGACAACTGATCTGCCACATTTATAGTCGATAATTTTTCCCTTAGTTAACTCTTCCCTCCTAATTTCTAGTAAGTCATCAGACTTCTTGTCAAGCAACACCATTAGATTTTGTGTAGGTTGTATATTGTTTACAAGGACTCTCAGTTCTTCGTTGACTTAAAGCTGTAATGTTGTAACTTTGCAATTAAAAAAAATGTGTGTGTGTGTGTGTGTGTGTGTGTGTGTGTTTTAAGAGGTTTAATGATACCACACCAATCCTTTTTTAAAGTATCCTAGATTTCCAGGGATACATAGTAAGTCCTCATTATTTGAGAGACAGTAACTAGTTGTCAAGTCTATAATAAACTGAGTACTGTCAAAGGCTTGGTTAACATTGAATTTTCTTTCTTCCCAGGGGGATGCATTATCAACCGTAAGCTCTGGATGTTTCTGTTCCAAGAGGGAGACAAACAGGTGGGACAATATGAAGTCCAATCCTGCCATCCAAGCTGCCATTGACCTCACTGCAGGGGCTGCAGGTAATCCCAGAGAACGTTCAATTCTTCTAGTTCTCTCTATGCCTTCTCAGAATGAGATTGGTGAAAGCCTACAATACATTTAGCTTTGGGTCAGCTAGGTGGCACAGTGGATAGAGCACTGGCTCTGAAGTCAGGAGTACCTGAGTTCAAATCTGCCTTAGACCAAACACTTGACATGTACTAGCTGTGTGACCTCAGGCAAGTCACTTAACCCCATTGCCTCATTAAAAAAAAGTTAAATACTTCCAGCCTCCATGGAGAAGCCTCCCTTTTCCTATGTAACAGATCCATTATAGAGAATTTGACATATGTTCTTAGAAAATTACAGAAGGAACATATCCTTTCCATCACTTTCTCACTACTGTTTTATAATAAGATTCCTTTTGAGATCTACTGGACTATTCAGAGAAGCAGGAAAAGCAAATATTAGGTTGCTCTTACCTTAAGATGAGGGACTATTCTGTTCCCCCCCCCCCCAGCCCTTTTCTGTCTAACTAAAGCACAGTGCTTAGAGCCTAGTGGGTGCTTAATAAATGCTTGTTGACTTGTGATAGAGCCTTCTTTGACATTCTAATGAAGTCTGTAGGCTCCTGAATAATGTTTTTAAGTGCATAAAATAAAATGCATGGAATTGTAAAGAAAACTAATTATGTTGAAATATAATTATCAAAATATTTAAAAGACAAGTTTGACCCCAGCCTAAGAATTTCTGTCTAGAGTTTATCATATATATCCATATGAGAAATAAAAAAGAGATTAATTTCAACAAAATAATAGTTATGTACTAAATATTCCCCATACTTCCTTGACAAGCTTCTCTACTACCTTGTAGAGATTCATGCCTCAAGTTGGGAATACTTGTTCTAAGTAAATGGCAAACAGTTGAATTTTACCTGAATTCAGCCTTATTGGTTTCCTAATTCTATAGATTTGTCTTAGTCCCATAAAATGTAGGCTGTATAAATCTCTTTACAAATTTTGAAGTCTTTTTTTCTTAGATCTCTCCTAATGAAAGCTGAGAAGGGAGGCTAATGTCCTTCATTCAGATATTGTTGCTGCTGTACTTATGTCTCTTAAACAAAAATTAATGAAGTCTAGTGGTTCTGGGTGTGAATATATGTTTTTCATTCTTCAGTCATTTTGGGAATGCTTTTTTATTTATTCATGTCAGGAAGCTTCAAGATTCTCATTCAGGTTTTATCCCATGAGTGTATTTGTTTTGACAAAGAATCTCTTTTAAAGTTACTGTAATTGTCATTTCTTTCTATGACCACAGGCATATCTGAATTTAGTTTCTTCATCTGTTAAATGAAGGGTTTATACTATTGTAACTTTAAGGTTCGTTCCAGTGATAAGGTTCCATGTGAGACCAGGTGAATGAATAGATGTTCCCTTTATATACAGCATTATATGTATTTAGAGGGCAATATTTCATTCTGTATTTAGTTACTGGGATGCTTCTTATCACAGATCATAAACTTTTTGTTTTGGCCAATATGTAGTATTTGAGAGCAAAAATATGGAGTCACAAGGTACACCAATTGTTTCCTATCAGCCTCTTTCACCATAATGCCATCATCAGCCAAACATATACTGAGTGCCTGTTGTATGGCACTTTGCTGAGTACTGTGGAAGACACACAAATGTATAAGATATGACTTTACACCAATGGGCAGACCAGCAAGCCTTGTTAAAAGAGCAACTGACCCTGAGGGAGAAATAAGAAGTGTTGAGCAGGTTAAATCCCCTGGACCACCTCTTCTCAGAGCCTTGGGAATATCAATGCCACCCAGACCATCAGCCCTGCTTCCAGATTGACTTTGCAGCCATTATTGAAAGGAGCAACTTTTGTGGAGAAAGGACCCATCATCCCCACTACTATTTTGTTGTTGTTGTTCAATTATTTCAGTTGTTTCTGACTCTTTATGACCCCATTTGGGGTTTTCTTGGCAAAGATACTAGTGGTTTGCCATTACCTACTCCAAGTCATTTTACAGATGAGAAAACTGAGGCAAAGAGGATTAAGTGACTTGCCGAGGATCACATAGCTAGTAGGTGACTGAAGCTGGCTTTGAACTCAAGTCTTTCTGACTTCAGGCCTCTATCCATTGTGCTCCCTTCCTAGCTGCCCTCACACTACTACTCCCCACAGTTAAATTCTGCCAATGGGCAAGTAAGCCCAAGAGGCCTGGAAATAGCACCCTCCCCCACTCCCAATTCAGCCAGGAGACAACTTTTTCGGAGGTAGGGCTTGGTGACTTGTCTTTGCATGCAAGGAATCCCTGTCCTCTCAGCAGCCTGAGCTACTAATACCCTAGAAAAGAAATTTCTCACTGCCAGAGGTCTCGGAGTTATCAAATGGGTTAGCATCAGCAATGGATAATGGTTTTTATGAATGGAAATGACATTAAAGAAAATATATTGTCCTCCATTTTGTCCCTGAACTCTAAGAAAAATGGAGCCTTTCCAGCTGACTTACTCATGAAATCTCTCTGTGCTGTCTCCACTACTGGAATGTAATCTGCTTGTGAGCAAGGACTGTCTTGTTATTTTTCTGTTGGGATCCTCAGCACTTAGCACAATGCTTTACATATTTTTTTCCTTAATTTTTCTTGCCTTCTCCCCCCCTCCCCCTTTTTTACAACGTGGCTAATGTAGAAATAGGCTTTGCATGACTTCATATGTATAATAGGTGTTATAGTTCTTGCCTTCTCATTGGGTGGGGGAGGGAGAAACTTTGGAACTAAAAATAATTTTTAAAAAAGCACAATGTTTTGCATATTGTCAGCACTCAGTAAATATTTTTTTTATTTGTTTGTTTTTGGTTTGTTTAGACATCCAAAGAGCTTATAAGCTATTTAAGAGAACCTGTAACCCCCACTATCCCTGGCCTGAAAGATTCCTGGAGGATCTTGGCCCTTAGAATACTCATGCTATTCCCTGTCAGCTGCAGGGTAAAGGCTATAAGAGAAGATGCTTCCCAGGGAACAGGGTGAAATGAACCTGTATAGATTCAGAGTCAGATAATGCAGGACCTTGAATAGAGGTATCAAGGAGAAGCCATGTGAAGGGTCTGAGTAAGGAAGAGAATGGTGTGTTAGGAAGGTCAATCTGGCAGTCTTGGACAGGGTATTAGAGGCCAGAGTCATCGAGGCAAGGAGAACAGTTAGAAGGCCTTTGTAGGGATTGAGACTTTGTGCTGAGGGGATGGAGAGAAAATTCAAAAGAAGAAACCACGGGATTTGGTAGGAGATTGGCTAGGGGATGAAGGGGCAGAAATGATTAAAGAAATCTCCCAAGTTTTCTGGGCTGAGAGAGTAGAAGAATGTTGATGCCCTTGGCAGACATAGGGTAATTAGGAAACGGACCTGTTCTTTTCGGGGGGGGGGGGAGAAAAGAATTACTTTCAGTGTGGACCCTGTTTGAGGGGATGACATTGAAATAAACATATCTTGGAGGTAGTTGGAAATAGGGGACCCAGAGTTAGGTATTAGAAACTTTTGAGTGGTTTATTTGGAATTATATAGAAATAAGCTTAGCATCTCCTTAAGCCCCAAGTGTCATTTGGAGTCTGAAGGTACAGCTAAGATGAAGAAGCTGAAATAAGTGACTTGTCCAAGGTCACACTTGGTAGTCAAGGTCAGAGATGGGATTTGAACCCAGGTCTTTTAACTCTAGTGAGCCAGTGCTCTTTCTGCTATACCACTCTGATCCCTGATACTCATTTTTGGATATCACTTGTCTTTAATATGCTTCCACCCTGAGGAAAGAAATTTGAAATGGAGATGAATTCTTTATTTCATTGAATGACAGAGTACTAAACTCAGGAAGGCCTGAGTTCAAATCCTGCCTCAAATACTTGTGATCCTGGGCAAGTCACTTAACCTCTGTTTGCCTTAGTTTCTTCATTTGTAAATTGAGGAAAATGATAGCATCCACCTCCCGAGGTTGTTATGCAGATCACTTTGCAAATCTTAAAGACCTATATAAATACTAGCTCTCCTCTTCCTCTTTCACTCCCCCTCCTCCACTCCTAGGAATGAGATGGGTCATTTATAATTGTTTTTACTATATCAATAGCAAAATGATCACTAATATTGGAAATAATTGGTTTAGTAGATAGAGTGCTGGAAACCAGGAGAACTGAGTTTTAACTCTGGCTATTTTATGAATTCACTAACTTTTGGTAAATCACAACATTGCTGTGTAAAATGGAGATAGTGGTGCTGCCCTGCCTATCCCATGGGGTGTTGAGGATCCATGGGGAAGTATATGGGGAAATTCTTTGCAATTTTAAAGTGCTGAATAAATAGTAATTCACTATTTTTCAATATTAACCATACATAGGCAAATAGAAAAGGCTAACTCCATTTTTACTAATAGTGTACCCTAAATAGAAAAGGGGGAAGCTCATGGGCATACAAGAAGGAAAAGGTATGGCACGGCAGATTGTTTCAAAGTGATTGGCCCAAATGTAGTAGCCCTCAGAGCCAACCTGGCCTTGTACTTGGGTCATGGAGTGCAGTCATCTTTGCTCCTTAAACCCTGTTGCCACAATGTGTCCTGTAGTCGTCAACCTAAAGGCCTCTATTGCTCCATGCTGTTTATCAGGGCGCAGTCCCCTATCACAAGCTTTTCTCAGCACTGCACATTAGGTAACCTTTTAGTCTTGTGGAAAAATAGTTTGTTCCTCTCTGAAGAGGGATCAATTTATGTCTTTTGAAGTGAATGCTGAAAAGGCTTCTAACAGGTTTTGGTTTGTTGACCCTGGAAAGTCTGGGTAAGTTAAAGTATTAGGCAACCTCACCATTTTGTCCTTCCCTGCTCCTGGAAGTTTAAGTACACATTGTGAGTATCTAGTGGTGGTGTAGGGGTGGATCATTGTTTCCTAAAGTGAGATATTGGAACTTAAGTTGGTATTCTGTGGGTCTTAAAAAACAGAATCATATCACAGGGGGGGAGGGTCAGCTTGGAAGGTAAGGGAGTTGATTGATAATATAAAGAAAAAAGGCATTTCTAATCCCCATAGCACAAAAACACAAGAATAATTTGATTGGCTTCAGGACCAACATAAATCCTGTCATTTAATTAAGCTTATGTCTCAATATCAATTTATTTAAAGATCTCTCCAAAGGGGGGCCCATCCTCTGGAGGCATTTTGGTTTTAATGTAGGGTTTCCTTGGTTGTTTGTTTAGACAACTTTTCAATTTAATCTCTTTTTTATTGAATCTCTTTAATTCCAAGGATGTAAACCAAATGAATTGGGAGCATTTTGGGTAAGAGTAAGTATATTCTGCTTCCATTAAACCATAAGAAACTGTGTGGCTAGAGAAAAGGCCTCAGAATAAGAAAGACCTGAATTTGAATTACTGTACTTACTGACACATCAACCTTGGTCAACTCATTTATCCTTATAATGCCCCAGGCCTCTAAGGCTGTGAGATGAAGAGCAGATGCTAATTTTCATTGGTAGAGGTTTTCCTCTTCAGGAATTCCCCATACTAATAAGATCACAGGACTTGTTCACAACAACAACAACAAAAAAATAAAGCCTAATTCTAATTTTGTGGGCAAGATAACCAGTATTGGTGATCAGGAGACCTGAGTTTTGATTTTGTCTGATATTTGCCATCCATGTGATCTAGGTCAAGTTAGTCATCCTCTGCATTGATAAAGATTAAGAGATTGTATTAAATGACTTCTTAAGTGTCTTTCAGCTCTAAAAAAAAAAAGCCATGGCTGCATGATTTTGAAAGGCTTTGAGAAGCATCATTAGATACTGTTAACTCTTAAAAAGAAGAAAATTACAATCATTTATATCCCCCCCATTTTCTTCTCTTATACTCACCCCCCTTTTCCCATAAACAGGGAGAGAAAACCTTCCTAATTCTTCACGTTTGCTTTTAGTAAGCCCAGAGGGAAATAAAGTAGTGTGTGGAATGGTGGAAAGAGCGCTGAACTCTGGCATTCAGGAGACCTGGATTCTAGCTTGGATTTTGCCATGAACTGGTTGTGGGAATTTGGACAAAATCATTTTTTCTAAGCCTTCCCCCCTGTAAAGTTAAGGGGCTTTGTTAGATGGCCTCAGAGGTCTCTTTTAGTTCTAAAGAGTATATGAAAAGCATAAATGGACTGAGATTTTAATTTTGCATTTGTTTCTCACACAAATGTAAGTCTTATTTTGTCCTCCAAGTCTCCAAATGCTTACCTCCACACTTCTGAAATTCTTTGCTGACCATGACGGGATGTTGAGTTTTGCCCAGGTGCTGGAACTCTTACCAACCTAGCATTTCTTCCAAGGACTTGTCCCAGTAACTTTAACCCTTTGCTGCAAATTTGAGTTCTGTGAAAGGACATGCTTGTTTAATAGAGGCAGAAAATAGGAGGCTGAGGTCAGCAGACCTCCAGAAAATGCAGACTCTTCCTCTCAAAGCATCTAACAGTCTTCAGGAATCAAGATGTCATGGTGTGGCTCTCAGCCTTGGCTTAAGGCTTGAGCAGGTGGTACATAAATCCACACTCACCATTACTTAAAGCAGAAGGTGCCAGTTTTTTTCTAAAAATAATTTTTATTAATATCTTTTGTTTTTATATCACCTACATTTCCCAGTATAGTCCTTCCCTCTCCTCCAGAGAGCTATCCCTTAGAACAAAATTAAAGAGAAGGTAAAAACCCATTTGGAAAAACTAACCAACATGTCAGAAAAGTTGGACGTTATAGTTAATGTTCCACCTATTCCATAGTATTCTACCTCTAAGAAGATATTAGGGAGGGGGGAGCCTGCCTTTTTAAAAAAATTTTTAAATTTTTTTAATTTTTAGGCAATTGAGGTTAAGTGACTTGCCCACAGTCACAGAGCTAGTAAATGTCAAGTGTTTGGTCTGAGGTCAGATTTGAACTCAGGTCCTCCTGACTTCAGAGCTGGTGCTCTGTCCACTGCACCACCTAGCTACCCCAAACCTGCCTTTTTATAAGCCTTCTTTTGGTCAAAGCTTGGTCGTAATAATTTTGCAGCATTCAATTTTGAGCTGTTGTTCTTTCCATTTAGTTAGGATTGATTGTTGTTGTTTTTTTTTAATTATACTCTTCCTCTCTATTCCAAAGATATACACACACACATACAGAACCAAAAAAACAGATGCAAAGCTTCCTTTCTCGTGAGAGGTTCTGGGAATTAGTGGCATAACGAGAAGGGCACCAGCGATGGGTGCTGAGTCTGTGGGCATGGGCAGCTGTTGGCTTCATCATTCCTGCCAAATCTGTATATTAGTGATAGAGAAATCCAGTAATAACCTTGAAGTTGCAGTTTACAAGTTGAGATCAGTGGTGGTAGAGAAGCCAAGTCTGGTATTGGGGGTTGGAGGGAAGATGTCACTGGCAGGATCAAGAGCCCTTGACACAATGGAGATTGTTCGTAGGGATGCTGGTCCCAGGGGCCTGGCACCTCTGCCAGGGGGCTTCTTACTGGATGTATTGTTTGCCACACCTCCGTTTCATGCTATCCTAGATTTGGATCTTAGAGGTCATCTACTCCAACCTTATTTTACAAATGAGAAAACAGGCCCAAAAGGGTTAAGTGATTTGCCAGTGCTTAGATTAGTTTCAGGCAACTTGGTAGCACAGTGGATAGAGCCTGGGCCTAGAGTCAGGAAAACCTGAGTTCAAATTTGTTCTCAGGCACTTACTAGCTATGTGATTCTGGGCATATCACTTAACCTCTGTCTGCCTCAGTTTCTTCAGTTGTAAAATGAGGATGATAATAGCACTTATCTCCCAAGGTTGTTGTAAGAATTAAATGAGATAATATTTGTAAAGTGTTTAGTTAGTATAGTACCTGGCATATAGTAGACACCATGTAAATGCTAGCTTTTATTATCACCATCATCATTATTAGTCCTATCATAGTCACATGGCTAATAAATGGCAGAGCTGAAATTTGACTCTAAATCCAGCACTCTTTCCATCATGCCATATTCCCTTCCCTTTTCCCCTTTCATTATTTAAATGGACAAGTCACTTAATCTCTGTCTGCCTCTGTTTCCTTGACTGTAAAATACCTCCCAGGGTTGTTGTGAAGGTCAGATGATATAGTATTTGTAAAGTACTTAGCACAGTGCTTGGCCCATAGTAAGCACTACATAAGTGTTAGGTGGTGTTAGTTATTATTAAATGATAAAACAGAGGCAACCTCTGTTCAAATTCTTAAGTTTGCTAGACAGCACATTTTATTCATATAAAAAGGCAACTTCTGTGTTCATTGACAAAAGTTACCAAAGCTTGAAAGTTACTCCCAGCATATGGGTGTTGGGGGGACCTGGGTTGTTACATTCTCTTTTTTTCCATAACTCAATGTTTCTGTTAAAGTAGTCCATAAATATTGGATATTAATTAATTTTAACTTTTTCTCCTACAACTGTACTCTTATGATTTTGTACTACTGTCAAAATAGGGTTGGTACCAAGCAAAAAAGGCACATTCAACTTGTTCCCCATTATTATATTGTGGGTAGAGCATAGAGTCAGGGAGACTTGAATTAAAATCAAGCCTCAGGCACTTAATACCTATGGGTCTGTGGGCAAGTTGCTTAATCTTTGTCTGTCTCAATTTCCTCATCTGTAAAATGGGAATCATAATAGTACATGCCTCCTGGGGTTTTTGTGGGTATAGAATAAGATAATATTAGCGATGTGATTAGCATAGTTCCTGGCACATAGTAGGTGCTTAATAAATGCTTGTTTCCTTATGCTTCTCTTTATGGATAATTGAGAGCTGGCTCTAAAACAAAGCTTTCATCCTTTTTTTTTTTAAATGAGAAAAGCATTCTTTGGCTGAACATATTGGGTAGGCAGAAGAGTTCTGACTTTCTGCTCCATATTCTAGGAGGGACTGCATGTGTGATGACTGGGCAGCCTTTTGACACGATGAAAGTGAAGATGCAGACATTTCCCAATTTGTACAGGGGCCTAGTAAACTGCTGCATAAAGACATACACCCAAGTGGGCTTTCGAGGCTTCTACAAGGGGACCACCCCAGCACTAATTGCCAACATTGCAGAGAACTCTGTCCTCTTCATGTGCTATGGTTTCTGCCAACAAATCGTGAGGAAGGTAGTTGGACTGGAGAAGACTTCAAAGTTGAGGTTTGTCAATAGTCTTTTTCTTTTATTGATGACTTTTGTTTTTACATCATGTTCATTTCCAAATAATCACCTTCCCTCCCTCTCCCCATCGAGGGAGACTTCCCTTGTAACAAATATGTTAAAAGAATGAGAAAACCATCGTTCAACCAAACCAACTGACACACTGAATACATCTGATAGTGTGTGCATTATTATTGATACCTGTAGTCCCTCTATTTGCCCTACTACCACAATTGGAGGGCAGAAGATACATTTTCTTAACTCTTTCCTAGGATCAAGCTTTGCTATTATTCCACAATATTCAGTTTTGTTTTGTTATTTTTTTCCTGTTTACATTATTATTGTCATGTGTTGTTTTCCTGATTCTGCTTACTTCAGTTTACATTATTATTATCGTGTATTGTTCTCCTGGTTCTGCTTACTTCAGTCTATACCAGTTAAAATAAATATTCTCATACTTCTCTGAATTTTTTATATTAACTATTTCTTAAAGAGCAATCATGTTTCATTACATCAGGACCGTATAACTATTTCCCAATCTATGGGTATCTGCTTTGTTTCTAGTTCTTTGCCACCACAAAAGGTGCTGTTATGAATATTTTAGCATTTATGGTTCCTTTCTTCTGCCTTTGATCTTCTTGAAATATGTACCCAGCAATGCGAATTTCTGGTTCAAAGGGTATGGGCAGTAAATGCTGTCTTAATAATTTACTTTTTTTAAAATTTTTTTATCAGCCCCTGATGTGTCCTCCTCATAAATGGATGAGGAGATCATAGTGGTGTTCAAAGTATCTCTCAGGCATGCATAGGCCCTTGCTTCAGGAGTTTTTGATTATAGAAAAGCAAACTGCAAGTCACATGCTTAGGAAAACAGAACTATGGTCTCTATTTCAGGGACCAATGTTGATTTGTCCATGCCACAGAATGCAGTCACAGAATCTTGGAGTGGGAAGAGACCTAGACATTATTCTAGTCTAACCCATTCCTGAGTAGGAACTCCCTTCTACTAGCTCTCTGACAAATGGATTACCTGTATTCCTCTTGAAGACCACCAGTAACTGGAAACCCACCGTCCCTTTGAGGTAGGGCAAATTCTAAGTGTTAGGAAGGCTTTTCTTCTGTTGTCAAGAAAACTGCCTCTATGCAATTTCTGCTTCCTGAGGCCAAACAAAGGGAGAAGAATACTCCAGAGGTACAAAGGTGGGTGTACAGCTGTGGGTGTGTGGTTGTCTTATCTAAACCACCCTAGAAACACCTTGGCTTTAGCATGCCCTAGAGCATACAGAGTCTAAATTCAGCCTTTACCACCGGCTTTTCAAAAAATGGTTGGTAAGGTTCTCAACTTCCCTCTCAACAAACATTTATTATTCCCAGTGTACACCTTGGTAAATGATGCTTGAGGGAAATGGCTGGTTTCCATCTAAAATGTTCCCAATAAAAATGGTTTTTATGTTTAAAGGCATGTGCCCACAGCTTTTCAGAAAATTTGGTTATCCTGAGTGGTCTAGATTGCTGAAATTTCACTGTAATTGAATGAGGAGGAGAAAGCCAGTTCTTGGTTTATTCTTGATACCTAGAGAACCTTGTTATAATGTCCTTATGGAATCCATGCTGTGGGGTGAAACAATGTTTTGTAATGGTGAATGAGTGGTATTTTTTTTCTTTCCATTCTTTTCCCTTTCTCTGCCCCTTCCCTTTCCACAGAGAACTCATGTGAAAACTTCTACCACCTGTGCAGACTCAGCAATTTGTCTGTAATTCACAGTCTTAGAGAGTTACCTGGGGCACCAACAAGTCTAGGCAGTCAGCAAGCATTTATTAAGTGCTTGCAGTATGCCAGACACTACGTTTACTGCTGGAGATTCAAAGGCCAAAAATGAATGAATGAATGAATGAATGAATGAATAAATGAATGAATGAATAATGAATAAATAAAATAGACCCTATCCTTAAGAAACTTCCATTCTAAAACGGGAGACTGTATAGAGACAACTAGGTAGATACAAAGAATACAGAGTAGATGGATGGGGCTGTGGAAGAGGAAGGTATTAGCAGCTGTGGGGGGACTAGGGAAGGCCTCCTACAGAAGACAGGGTGTTTATCTTAGTCCTGAAGAAAGTCAGGGAAACTAAGACATGGGAATGAGGGAGCAGAAAATTCCAGATGTGGGAGAATGCTTGGCTCATATGAAGGTACGGAGATGAGAGATGGAATGTTGGGTTTGAGGAACTGTAAGAGGCTAATATGGCTGGATCATAGATTACTTGGAGGGGAGAGAAATTTAAAAAGACTGAAAGAGTTGGAAGGGCCAGATTGTGAAGAGCTTTAAATGCCAAAGGGATTAATATTTGATTCTGGAGCTAATTGGGAGCCACTGGAGCTCTTTCAATAGGGGGATGAAGTTGTGTATCTAAACTTCAGAAAAATCACCATGGCTGCTGAAGGGAGGATAGATTTGGAGTGGCCAGAACCTCAAGGCAGGCAGACTAATTAGGAGTTTATTGCAGTAGTCCAGGGAAGTGGTAATTAGGACTTGAACTAAGATTGAGGCTATATGAGTGAAGAGGAGAGGACTGTATAAGAGAGATGCTGTCGAAGTAGAAATGACAAGATTTGACAACAGATTGGCCATGTGGAGTGAATGAGAGTGAGGAGTCAAAGACCTAGTGATTTGCCAGGATCACATAGTGTGTCTGTATCAGAGACAGGATTTGAATCCAGATATTCCTAATTTTAAGACCAGCCCTCTATCCACCAAGCAACACTACCTAGATTTGTTATTATTAATTAATTATTATAATTACCTGTGTAACATCTGCATAACTTATAAAACATCATAAATGTAATTGCAACTAGTAACATGGTAGGATTGTAGATGGAGAGTTGAAAGGGACTTCATATTGCATCTTAAAACCCTTCATTTTGTAGATGAAGAAACTGAGGTCCCGAGAGGTTAACAGAGACTTGTCCATATAGCTAGGAAGAAGCAAAGTCAAGAATCAGACCTTTATCCTCTGACTACAAATCCAGGATGAGCTCCAATGAATCATGTTACCCAGATCCTTTGGTCAACTGTATTTCTTTCTTTCTGTTAACACCAGTCACTCAAGTTTATTAGCAATAAAAAATATCATAATCATAAGTAGTTCACACTTATATACTAATACATGTTTGATTGATAATCATTTTGACTGTTAATAGTAGCCATCATTTATACAGTGCTTTAAAAGGTCTGCAATGCATTTACGTATGTTGACTGATTTGATACTAACTTCCTAATAGCATTAAGAGTACCTAGATAATATTTAATCTTAGGGACAGTGGAAATATTTGTAATGCTGTAGTAAGGAAAGGGTTTGCAAATTTCTGCCTCTTCTCCCTCTTAAAAGACAGAGAATGTCCTCTGCTTAAGTATATTTGGAAAATTGTTCCTCTCATGCGTTCATGACCATGTTAGGGTCAGGGAACAGGTGGGGGCTGGGTATTAAGAGGAGATAGTGAAAGAGCCTTACCTTCTACTTGCCAGTATTATTGGTGATCTCTGGCAGCCATGGAGAGATGAGGAGAATTCCTCTTCTCCTATCTCCTACTTTGGAATGCAGCTTCTATCAGATAGCTTGCAGTCTTCAAAGATAGAGAAAAAAAGCCAGCTCTTCACACTGACCTCACCTAATCTCTTGGCCATCTCCAGCTTGCAAAGAGCTCTCTGTGGGTGTTAGTAGGAGCCTAGGGGATAGAGCTAGTAAACCTGTCACAATCAAACTTTCTCATTTCTCTTTCTCTTTTCCTCTTCCATGGTGAACCCAGTGTGAGGCAGAGAGACTAAATCTCCAGTTCTTTGCTGGAAAGTGGTGGTGTTTTTTGTAGGTCTGACCTAGAAGAAGTTTCAAAGAAGAAGGGAGAGGGAGAGAAGGATGGGGAGAGAATAAATAAAAGCAAAAGGAGTGACCATATTGGAAGTATGTTCTCTAGCAGACAGTATTATCCAGAGTTTGACTTGTAGCTGTTATAAACCACAATTTGGTGCGTGCCCGTGTGCTCGCATGTGTGTGTGCATGTATGCATGTTTTAAACAAGCTAACCTTACATTCATTGTGAGATTAATGCCATCCCTAACCCCTTATATTACAATTATAAAATGGGACTTATGCACCCTAGGTGATTAAACAGGGACTTGAAAGTATTTATTAGAGACTTAAAGTCCACATTGAATCTGGAATGATCAAGTAGGATTTTCATCAGACCCTTCTTCATTCAGGGTGGAGTGAGGAGTGTCAGATAGGCATGCATATGCCTATGCCAATATGCCAATATATCCTTAGGTGCCTAGATTTCCTTTCATTCGAACCAGCTACCTTTAGGATACGTAGCGAAAGCTGAGTGTGGCAGAGGGAGAAGGAGAGAGAAATGGGCTCCTGAGAAGCCCATTTAATACCAGTCCCTACTCCTGGCCTGGCTTCACCAAACTTTTGACAAATCAAATCAGTCCCCGGTTCTTTCTACTTCTCCAGCTGTCCCCAAGGGCTTATTCCTTTTATGATACTACTGGCTCTAAGAATCCAGCCCAGGCCTCCCTCTAAAACCAGCCTCTGAGGGTACTGCACAGTAATGTCCAAAAGCTATCTATGCTTATAGACTGTTAACCTTTGGTCCCGAAAGCTAGATAATAAGCTCTTAAGGACTTTAACTGATAGGTCCCAGTCACCTGACTGACAGGGTAGCACTGAAAAAGCCTGAGAGAATGGAAAAGTTTAAAGCAGGGGTGGGGAACTTGCAGCCTTGAGACCTCAAATGAGGCCCTTTTACCGGAATCCAAACTTCACTGAACAAATCTCCTTAATAAAAGGATTTGTTCTATAAAACTTGGATTCAGTCAAAAGGCCACACCCAAGGACAACTTGTGGCCTTGAGGCTGCAGGTTCTTCACCCCTGGGTTAAAGTTTGGGTTTTAGCAGAATTAGGAAAGCAAAGATTTTTGCTTTGTGATAGTTACAGGGAAA